GAGACAGAGTCTTACTTTATTGCCCTTGGTAGAGTGCTGTGGCATCATAGCTCACAGCAACTTCCAACTCCTGGGCTTAGGTGATTCTCTTGCCTCATACCCAGCTATTTTTTTGTTTCAGTTTGGCTGGGGCCGGGCTTGAACCCTCCACCCTTGGTGTATGGGGCTGTTGCCCTACTCACTGAGCCACCTCCGGCATATGGGGCTAGTGCCCTACTCCTCTGAACCACAGGCACCGCCCAAGACAGGATCTTTCTATGTTGTCCAGGCTGATCTCAAATTCCTGGCCACAAGCAATCCTCACACCTCAGCTTCCCAAAGTGCTGGGAGATTAGAGGCATGAGCTACCATGCTCAGCCATAACATTTTCTTGGGGTGTGTGTGTGTGTATTGGAAATGGAGTCTTGCTCTGTAGCCTGAGTTTGAGTACAATCTCAAACTCCAGCCTCAGCCTCCTGGAGTGCTAGGAGTACAGGTGTGAGCCACTGTGCCTAGCTCGTAACATTTTTAAACTCACCTGTATCGAAAGTGACAAAGTGAGACTTGGTCTTAAAAAACAAAATAAAAAATAAAAATAGAAAAACTAGCTGGGCGTTTTGGCAGGCACCTATAGTCCCAGCTATTTGGGAGGCTGAGGCAAAAGGATTCCTTGAGCTCACGTCATCATGCTGTGAGCTATGATGCCATGACACTCTAGCGAGGGTGACAGAGTGAGCCTCTGTCTCAAAAAACCCCAGAAAACAAAAACAAAAAACAACTCATTTCACTTGTTTTGTTTTGTTCTTTTAGAGACAGAGTCTCACTATGTGGCCCTTGGTAGAGTGCTGTGAAGTCACAGCTCACAGCAACCTCCAACTCCTGGGCTTAGGTGATTCTCTTGCTTCAGCCTCTCGAGTAGCTGGGACTACAGGCACCTGCCACAACACCCAGCTATTTTTTTTTTAGGTTGTCATCATTTTTGTTTAGCTGGCCTGAGCCAGGTTTGAACCCGACAGTCTGGGTGTATGTGTCTGGCCCCATAACCACTGTGCTATAGGCGCTGAGCCAAAAATAAGGAATTCTTGAGTTGCATTAATAGAAGTGGGGTATCCGGAAGCAGGGAAGTACTACCTTCATTGATTCTTTTTGGATTTGATCATAACCATGTTTAGTTCTGGATACTTCAAAAAAGCATTGGCAAAAGGAAGTGAAAACATGGTGGCAACAAGATGGTGATAAATCTAGAAGACACTTCAAACACGAAACAAGTGAAAAAAATTCTTATATTAACCTTTAAAAAAAGGTCTTAGAGGAGGAGGAAATTTGTTCAAATGCTTGTAAAGTTATCATATAGCAGAGTGTGGCAGGCAAATCATGTCCCCCAAAGATGCCCACATTGTAATTCTAGAAACCTATGAAGAATTTACCTTAGATGTTAAAAGGGATTTAGCAGGTCTGACTAAGTTGAGTCTCTTCAGATGGAGAGTTGGATTATCCATGTGGACCTAATGTAATCCCAGGGGTCCTTAAAAGATGGAAGGAGGGAAACAGAAGTTGAGAGTGAGAGAAGGAGTTATCACGACAAGCGGAGGCCAGGGTGATGCGAGGCTATGAGCCAAGGTATGTGGGTGACTTCTAGAACCCTAAAAAGGTAAGGAAACAGATTCTGTCCCAGAACCTCCAGCAGGAACACAGCTCTGTAACCCATTTCAAACTTCTGACCTCCAAAACTGTGAGATAAAGATTTGTGTTGTTTTATGCAATTAAATTTATG